TATGTGCTATTGTGCTTCGATTTTTTTTTTTTTTGTATTCTGTAGAATACAAGTTAAGAATATTTCTAGGGAAATTTTAAGATTATGCTTCGTGGACGAATCATTCTTTTAAGGAGGGTGGAATGTAACACTCCTTAAATATAAGAAAAAGATTTTAATATAACATGTTATACATGTTAATAGGTACTTGTGATTTTTTTTTAAGCTTATGTTTCGGGACGAAACATCTTTTAAGGAGGGTAGAATGTGATACTCCGAAAATTTCAAATTAAATAAATAATTATCTTATCAAATAAAATGTTATAAAAGTGACATTTTAATAGGTGTTAGGTTGACCAGATAAGAGGTTGACTTAAATAACAAAAGTGGAGTTTTGTAAAAACTGATAAGTATTCATCTGACAGAAATTATTAAAGTGACATTTTAACAATTTTAATGGATTAATAATAGGTGTACAAATATACACTAAATTACATAGGTAGTACAAAAGTAACAATGTTAAAATAATTGACTTTTCAAATCTAAATACATACATACCTATCTATACACAATAACAATATCATATATACTCCATACATATCAATATGCTATTAGTATAATATAAAATACAATGTATCTGTTCACAGAGACATAACCACATCAATAACAATAATATATACTCCCTCTGTTCTAATTTGTTTTGCAAAGTCAACAATTTTTGGTCAACCAATAATAAAAGTCAACCCTCCGTATGGATAATTGATACAATTTTTAATAACTAAAGTTTATCTATTCAAAAACTACATTAAAATCTCTTCAAAGTTGTAAACTCCAAATTAGAATATAATTAAAAATTGACACCCTAATTAAGTGAACAAAACGAGACTGTTTGATTGAGAAAAGTCAAATTTGCAACTCTTTTTGGGACGGATGTAGTATATGCAACTTGCAGACTGAGCCATGTACATTCATGGGGTCCAAATTAAAGAAAGATGAGATATATAACAACTCAGACCTTCGGCTGGGGTAGATATACCCTACTAATAAATACCAATAAAGTATACATAAATGATGGACTTGAATTTCAATAATATACTTGGCTCCTGCAAGAGAAAACAAACATGAAATAATTAACAATAATGCATGAAGCCAAAAATAATATACACATGCGTCCCATGCCATGTGTATGATTGCATGAAGCCAAAAATAAACAAAGCCAGAACATTCGTATGTATCTCGGTACCTGGTATAATATACTAATGGTATAATAAACAAAGCACAAAGGGAAACCTTTTATAATATACTTGGTATTTACATACTCTCTATATATTAATGTACACTTACCCCATCGTTTGACGAAACCCAAAGAGGAGGCCGGCCAAACTCTAGTCACCTACTCCATATATAGATAAGAGAGAAAAAAAAAAATGAGAAACGTAGGGAGGGAGAGAAAAGAGAGAAGAAAGGAGCGAGAGAGAGACGGTTAGTTCGCCGCCTGGGCAGAGGGAAATCGCCGGAGTTGTGGCCTAACTAGTTCTCACGCCGGAAGAAGGAGGCCGCCGGTGAACAATTGCATCGGGAGGTGAGGCCGACAGAAGTGTAACTGCCAGGCCAGACCACCGGTCCTTCATGCCGTCTCATGATGGCTTGTCGTTGCCGTTTCCGTCGGAGGAAGAGTAAACGTACTCTGCGTTGCCGGCCGGACTTCATTAACGAGGAAGACGACCGAGTACGTAAGTCCTCTGCGTCTTTTTACTTCCTTGGTACACCGGACATTAGATATACTTTGGACATTTTGATAATATAATCCTTAATAAACAGAGTAGTTGGGCTAAGATAACAATAATAATAATAATAATAATAATAATAATAATAATAATAATAATAATAATAATAATAATAATAATAATAATAATAATAATAATAATAATAGTAATAATAATAATAATAATAATAATAATAATAATAATAATAATAATGGGTTAGGAGGAACTGGATAAAAATGCATAAATAAAATAACATACTGATTATTGAACTTTAATAGTTAAAAGGTCGTTGCGGTGAAGATCGAAATAACAACTTGAATAGGAGTGACACGAAACGAGGTAAGTGTTTCCGTCAATCAAAACTACTATTCCTCTAGTTAATAGTTTCAAAAACTTGTACGTGAACTATATTCCAAGTTTTGAGATTTGATATTATTTGAAAATATGTGGAGTATTTGGACTTGCAAAAATTACTATTTTACTAGCGTTACTAGATTTGCCACTTTTTGATGAAGTTTTGAAACTTTGAGAAAATATATGGATATGAGAAATATGGCTATCTTGTGTACAAAATCGATTTATTGATCTTGAGAAAGTGTGATCTCATTTGAATACTACGTTCTTTTGAGAAAACTACAATTTGAGATCGGATATTGTGACTACGTTTGGAAATACAACAAGTCCTTACTTTGACAAAGATTAATTTTTGAACAACTAGTGATCCTAAAGATCTAATTATATGATTACTATTTCAAAAGCTTTGATATGAAATTATATGTACTGTATTTGAGACTAGTAATATACATACAAGAGTTTATATATGTATTTTTTTTTATTAATATGTCCATCTCATACACAATTTTGGAAAATTTCGATATGTATATAAATATATTTTAAATCACTACTACATTTAAATGTATAATTATAACTAGTATTGAATCTATAAGATTATACTACGTAGATGATTTGAGAGGTCTTGGTACATATATAAAACTTTTTAGCTAATTGATTTTCAAGATATGATTTCAAATACCTAATTTTTGTAAAATGTATATATAATTTACCACTTCGATAATTGAAGGAATTTCAATAAAGCTATCTTTTTTAAATTATTATTTTAAATATATGATGAGCGTACAAATCCATGTTTACCAAAATTTACTATTTTACCTCATTAATAATTTTGAGATGTTTTAATAAAAATATTTATTTATAAAATTCCATACTTGAATAATATTACGAGCATTTAACTATCAAAATTATTATTGAGCTACATATTATTTTAAGAGATTTTGGTACAATATATAAAATAAACATCTTTCTATATGAGTATAACTAGTACTTATTTTTATAATAATGTAGCTTTCGAGGCCAATAAAAAAAAATGATTTTACCGCATGCTTATATGTATGCAATATTTGAACTATGGGAAGTATTTATGACTTGGAAATTTATGATGGACATGGATGGAATATTTTGAATATATGAGTATTGGTGGATTATTTTCTATGGATGATTAAATGTATATTTTTTTAAGAATATTGGTGGATTGATATTTATTACAAAGATTATCTTTGGAAGTGTGACAAGAATGATTTTGGGGAAAACCTAAAGTTTTCATAATATATTTTTACGTCTCGAGAGAAACACGAGGCGTGGGTGGTTAGGGCTACTACTACTTTTGGTGAAATTTATTTGGGTCGGTAACCAATCCGGCAATGACACGCTCCGGTAGACATCCCGGGCTTTTATTTGAGGATCAAAGATCCTTTGGTGGTCGTAGTAGTAGTTACCTAATTTACCCTTGGACAATGTCCCTTGAGAGTAGGTGGTAGAAAACATCCTGCCTACTTGGATTTCTTACTACTCGGAGAGCTTGGAATCTCTTTTAGAGGGTGTGCACACTTAAGGTAGAAATTCAGCTTCCAATTGGTGGTCGGTGGGAGCCGGAATTCCGGGATGAGTCGTAGACAACAACGACTCATTGGACTCGAGGAACCTTGAGTTTCGCCCACTCTTAAAAGAAACATAAAGTATTACTTCTGGTGGAATTGAGAATGGAAATATCTATTGGAGGAATTTTTTTGAGACCTTGGATCATTCTGGATATATGCGAGGATTAAATATTTTTGGGGCATTAAATCTTTTTGTTACCATTGAGACTATTGTGGAGAATTATTCCTTATAATACTTATAAGAGTTGTTGAAGAAATCATACTATTTGGATTATGATACTTACCACCAAATATTACAAACACTTTTGGATATGGATTTTTGAAGGATTTTGGTAAAGCTAGCAATCCATTTGGATTGAATTTATTTACGGATATGAGATGTGTGTTTGGATTTCAAAAGCTATTTTGGAGATTAAGTATTTTAGGAAGTAATATCTTACTCCTACTATACGAACTATTCAATGTTTATAAACATTATTTTTAGCTATGAACGATATTCGAAAATTATTACCTCGTATTTAGTTGTTGGAAAGTATATAGAATTGAGAAAGTATTTTGAGGACTATGAGATATTAAGACTTTATTTTACTTGCATATGTGTGATATGCTATGAGATGGAATATTTTTACAAACCTCAGTTTAGTGTGTGTATTTATTTATTTATGAGATCAAATATTTTACTTGCATTTGAGGAATTGTAAAGCATTTTGAGAAGGTTTCGACATGCCTAAAAAGAGTTTTAACATGTGTTTTGACAAAATTATATATGTATCAAACATGATTATTTTACAGGGTTGAGTAGGCCCTTACTTAGCATTTCAAGCTAATTTTTGTTTCTTTGTGTTTTCTTTCTGTACATGATTTTGTACAGGTGGAGACTTGGTGATGATTTCGAGAGCTTCCGCTAGAACACGTAGATTAAAGTGATCGAGTAATTCACATTTGGTTTAATTATAATACTCATAGTTACACAAATTAAATACGAGAAATTTGTTTTATTCACATTTATGAAGTTGTATTGGTGGTGGTTAGCCTGTGCACTCGGTTATGTGAGAACCGAGTGTGGCGGTAACGCCCCTTATTTCCATTTAAATTTCCGCTGCACAATTCTGATGTTTTCAAATAAAGTTTAAATTCTTTTGAATAAATCATTATTTAAAGGTATTTTTGGGTGGGAAATTTGGGGGTGTTACAAATGGACTGTTCGAATTCACCTGCTCTGAAGACACAACCTGGAATGGAGACGCAGGTCATCACTTTACAGCACCTTAAAATTGATGCCAACATATAAAAAAGAGAAGTGCGTTTACCCTTTCTCCACCACCAAACTCCCTTTTCAACAAAGAAAATTCATCCTCCTCCTGTTTAAGCAAACAAACACATTAGTATTCATAATTCATTTAGGATAAAGGACACAAATACTTGAAACGCTAGAGTGAAGTTTAGACATGGAACCTCTGTTGATGTGGTCTCCTTCACATAGAGTGAGATAACTCTAGGGTCATTATTCATTCTAAGAACGTTGTAGGTCTGATTACCCTTGAAATTTCTGCTCTCACGTTTATATTGAATGCGGAAGAGGGCCTTGATGTCCATCAAGTCATTGATCTTAGAAGGGAAATAATTGGGTCCAAAATTCCTCTACACCAAAAATTAGAAGTTATTAATGTGTCCCGAAAGGTAATGAGAACACTTGCCCAAAAGTTTTAACAAAATAACAATTTGGCCTTATTTACTTGTTCTTTCAACGACGTAGCAGATCGCCCAATCAAGCACGACACCTCTCTGTCCCAGAGCAGAAACGACGCGTGCGAAGTTGTATCGACCACTCGAATGTTGACCTTGTACCTACACCAATAATATTATTTAGATCCAATAAAATTAAGTAATGAAAAGAGGTCTTTATGAAACAACACCTCAAAACAGCGTCTGAGGAATTGCAAGAGAGGCATTGAAACCCGTCACCACTGGGAGTCACTTTACGGTTACAACCAATGCACGAAACATAAGACCACTCTTTGTGGTTATCAAATATCAATGCCAACAATCTCTCCATATATCCAGTGCTTTCCATCCTTATTAAACCATATATACGAAGTCAGTTAAAGCCTAGTTAAAAACCCAAGATTGCTAAAGCCTATATAAATGGTGAGGACCTAACCTCTTCCGTCTTAGTGAGTTGCTCAATAGTTACCAACTGAATCTGACCAGAACTAATGTCAGCGTCATTTGAGGTATCAGATGCAATTGTGAAGCTCAAACCTTCCCCACATCTGGAAGCCATTTTTGTTTTAAAATCGTTGAACTCATCCTCCACACCGTTAAGAATAACCTTGGTTGTATTAAACATGTTGGATACATGCACTTGACATGATTTTATTTAAATAAAAAACATTAGCAACTATATTTACTTGCAAAACATCATGTAAATATTAAGGAAACATTAGCAACTATATACCTTGGTATTTTTTTAGCCCGGCAGCATTGAAGCAACATGACTATGGGTTCGCCCATAGTCAGTTTGTACGACAACAACATATCAACCATAGGACCCCAAAGAGTGCATCCAATGACATTGCCCCTTTTAAAATAGCATTAGAAGTATTAGAGAAAGTTTAGTCGTGAAAGTGTATGTGAAAAACCCTATTTACAAAGTTACTAACTCTGTATCTCCAAGGATAAGCTCAACCAACTTTTTAGGGCGATCGTTTTTTAGAATTGTCCTGGGATCCTTGTCATGAACGACTTGTCCAATGATATCTGCTATATGACAAATATAAGTATATAACTCAATTGACTGTGGACATAACACGACATCGATTAGGAACACACAATAACGTATTTACAAACTGACCAATCGCTGCCCTGTCGTCGATAGAGTCTTGCGCTTGCAATGCAGCGAAGGACACCAACGAAAATGTCCTCAAGGGAAATAGAACCCTGATTTCAAACGCCTCACTCTTTTTGAAGAAGCGTAGCCTATAAGCGCTTGTAGTGGTTTTGAAAAACATGAAAATTTCTTCCACCATAAAATTTTTTATAGCATACACACGTCCTTCCCTGAACAGCCCAAAAAATTTTGGAATGGATTGATCAGGGATGTGACCGTGAATCTTAGAACCCTGAAAAAAAATATTATGATTAAAATAGCTGGATAGCATCTTGTATAAAAATGAAAGGTATTTACCACACCTCTTCATCATGGAATATGACTTCCATAGAAGGGGGAAAACCATCATGTGCGGGTTCTCGGTAAACCCTTGTAGCCCGGGCTTTTATGGCCCATGTTGTTTTTGTTTGATCGAGTTGCCTAATCATAGACCACATTTCTACCATTTTTTTCAAAGAATTTACTAAGCACAAAGATTTTTTTTTGTGATGTTATGGATGAGGATTGTGCTTGGACCCCCTTCTATTTATATTGCCGGTTGAGCCCACAAACATTTAATCAAGTAACTATTCCACCACCCAATCTAACCAATAAAATTCAAGGAAAATAAAAAATGTGATATTGTGTTGTACGTTCAGATCTTGCCAACCAAGTTCAACCAATAGGATTATTTTGCCCAAATTCATTCTCACCAATATTGGCTGTGGAGCCCATAAACATTAAATCAAATAACTATTCCACCACCCTTCCAACCAATAAAAATCAAGTAAAATCAAACACCAACTATTCACACGTACGATTTCAGATCTTGCCACCATGATTCTCACCAACCACAATAAAGCAAGCATTTGATTCATCAACCGGCTGGAACTGTAATTTTTTAACACATAAATTGATTTGGTAATTGTTTTTTATGTTACAATGATAAAAGCATGATGTTGACACAAATGGGAGGGAACACTGTTCACATAAAAACTGTCTCTTTAGATATTAATAGATGTTATAGTGATAAGATGTTGTATAAACTTCTTCTAAAGTGCACATATCATATTCCTAAAACGCAACAAACAAACTTCTAAAATGCACATGCATGTTATAATGATAAAATTCAACATACGTACTACCTAAAAAAACTACTTTATCACTATGTACTGCTAATATAAGGTATGAAGACATTATAAATATATAAGGTACATCATGTAACCTTAATATGCCATCTAGTAAGCTTAATATGTATATCTACAAACTTTAATATGCATATCTTGAAACTTTAATATGTGGACATTTTGCTTGTGCTTGCTTAATTCTTACTTTAATATGTTAAAAGTTCTTATATAAATTATGCACACATTATTGATACCATGATACGTAATGCATCCATAACCTTAATATGCATTGTTAAAATGGAAGATTAATTAGGAAGTGATTAATTCGATAATCAAGTTATATCTTTAATTAATGTTTCTAGTAATTATTATTTATTAATTAAAATGAGAAAGTTATATTGCAATTTTCCATATTTACGCGTATTCATATGAAAAAAATCTTCAGCCTCCCATATTTTAATATCATATACTTGGGTAGTTGTGACTTGAGGTATTAGTGGTAGGTTAGCATTGGCACAACCGTGTTTAATTCAATTTATCTCACCACATATTCCTATAATCCTATGGTGAATGCTATATGTACAATCCTTGATGTGACTAATCTAGGTGTAAGGGAAGCATATTTTTTTATACACCCACCCACAAATGTTCTTGTCGGGTGTTTATTGGGCGAAACGTCATCCACCCACTTTCATTTGAAGTGTTTTCGGGTAGATTTTTTGATTAAATTTTGTGAACATATTTTTCATTAAATGTATATTCTGTCTTTCATATTTCAGCTTAAAATTCAATTGGAAAATTAGTTAAATAAATTATTGAAAAATACAATTTTTATATTTTTAAACCCGTTTTCAAATAAATTGATCTGAATTACAAATCACAAATAGTACAAAATATTAGTTCCCAATATTACCAACAAATTCAAATCCAAAAAGAATAATTTATCTAAATATTTTGTTCAACATACATATAAGTAAACAATAAAAGTTTTTTCAAAAATCTTACTATATCAAATGAATGGATAAAAGTGCGACTAAAGTTATTATACATATATTTTCATGGTTACTACGGTATACAAATTTAACATACTTGTAAACACTAAAAGTTATTAAGTCATTTTGTTGTTCATCTTGATGATTTTAGTCATATATTAAAAATTATTTCTAAATATTATTAGTATAATATAATGATTTTATAATTTTGTTTTTTTTTTCGATCCTGACATGCTATAGAATTCAGGGGTATTAGGGATCCTGGTTTTTGAAGTTTGATCCGGATATTTTTATAGGACCGTTTAAAAAGAAAAAACTGAGACAACAACATCTTTCGGATTTGGTTAAGGTAGATTTACAGATTTAGATACAGTGTTTCACACCCCGACACATTTTTATGCGTGAAAAACATGGATTATAAAAAAAGGGAAAATGAACCATTATACCCTTCTAGTATGAGTGTAAGAACAACTATATCTTTGTTCTACTTTTTGAAACAAATGTATTCCTGAATTTTAGGTGGAAGTACATATATACCCTTGAACTTTTAAAAAGTGCAAAAATACCCCTGAACTTTTTGAAGGTACAACAAAGGAACAATTTACCCTTGTTGACTTTAAATATTTAAAATAAAGGGAAAGAAGAAGACGAGATCTGCCGCCCAAGTCGCCAACGATATGACGATGAAGCTCAAGGGTTTGCTCTGCTCACAAGAATATATAAATATTTTTAAAGGCGATAAGGGTAAATTTACTCCTTTATAGGAACATGAGAGATATTTTTGCAACTTTTAAAAGTTCAGGGTAAATATGGGAAAATTATCCACCGTATTACTAAAACATCATGTTTTTACCAATCTATGACTTAGCCATGTTTTCTTCCTACTATGATGCTTTAATACCATACATCATGATTTAATAATTTTTTACCCGTATTTCTATTCCACCGGTGCCCTCCACGTTAATTAATTAATACGGAGTATCTTATGGTTTGCTCCTATTTTTTCGCACATGATATGCACGATCAGCCGCTGCACTTGCGTTAAGAATATCATACATACTATATATCAATTGTTTTAATTAATATCGATCTATAATTGCGGAAACCGTTTTCTTCCTTCATTCTCCATTTCTAGACCACAAACCGGACAGTACCGTGTGCCGTTTTGCTCCTAGTATCCATGGATCCCCTCCCTGGAAATCCTCCAACAATATGGATAATGATCAGATTCGATGGTCAGTGGGTAACGAACACTCTTTTTTCTAGTATTCATGTCGCCGGCATAACAATACCGGCTAATTGTACTTTCGCTTCTCTTCGTTCTTGTTTGTTTTCTGCTATGGGGGGGGGGGGGATTACGTTGACAAGAATATATTGATCTCGTACGTTTTTGCTTCATGCCCACCCCCGGTGATTGTATGTGACGACGAGACATTGCAGTTTTATCTGCAGTTGAAGAGCATTCGAAGTGATCCGATGAAAATGCCCTTGTGCATTGAAATTTTACCAGATGTTCCTAAAGCAGTGGATGAACATGCTACCAGTGCAGAAAATCAAGATATCTCAGTTGCCCATCATAATCACCCTGAAAACGTGATTGATGATATCCATTTTGGTGCAGACAATTGCAGCTTTACCAACGATGACATTGAGGTCAGTAAGTGTGCGGAATTTATATCTGGTGAGGAGGTTCATGCTACGATTGGAGAGGAACAAAGCATCATAATATGTGATGATATTCACAATGAAAGTGGAATTAATCATACGTGTTATGTCGAAGAGCGTGGTGGCTTAAGTGACGAAGGCAATAATTTCAGTCACACTGTGGATGCAGACTTTGAACTTGAACATATTTCGAGTGCTGAAATTACGAGGTTAAATGCTCTAGTAGATGAAGAGATTCATAATATGCCTGTAGTCAACCATTGCGAACGCACGCGTATTGCATTGAATAGCATCTATGGAAGCAAGAAGGAACTTGATTTTCACTTAAAGATGTATGCTATTACCAACTTTTTCCAATATAGAACGAAGACATCTCGCCCGAAGGTTTTGCATGTTGTGTGTGTTGATTACCCCAATTGCAAGTGGGCTGTGCGTGCTGTGTGCATCGACAAAGTCTCATTGTTCCAAGTTAAAAGGTATGCATTCATTTCTCTGAGTTTATTGCATATATTTCTTGTCTATTACTGCCCCTGTCACTGTTTTGTTGTTTATACGTTGCATGCATGTGTATTACTGCCCTTCATAATATTATTTTAAAAACAAATGAGCAGTGGCAATGACGTGTAAATTTAATTCCCTATGACGGTCTTTTATGGTGTCATTGATTTGTATATTACTGCCCTACTTAATATAAATGTACACAATTTAATTCGGCAGTGTCTAGGGCATATAAATTTAATGTCCTATTACGTTTTTTATGTTGTCTGTGTTTTCGGTTGTTGGGAAAAAAATTGGTAAAAGGGAAATAAATCAGTGTTTGAACTTGGGCATAAATATTATTCCCTTTGTGCAAATGTTATATTTTCCTTCCTCTTGCATTAAGTTTTGCTTCATGTTAATGTATCTCATTACTGCCCTACGTAACATACTTGTGCACTCAAAAGAACATATAAAATTAATGCCTTATTACGTATTTTTATTGTGTCACTTTTTCAAAAAAAAAATGGTTTAAGGGAAATAATTTCATTATTACAATGTGAGTATTTATATTAATGCACTTTGATCAAATGTTATAATGCCCTCCTTTTTGCATTAAGGTCTCTTTGCATGTCAATGTATCTCATCATTTTTGCCACTGCTCTAAATAATTCCCTGCTTCTACTTCAGTTTTAATGTCCTCTCCCCACTTTAATTTAATGGTTATATATTTTATGAAAGTCAGTTCTAATACATAGTGAATTTCCATCATGTGTTTACGTTATTTAATTAATTGTGTACATTGCCGAAATTATTCTAATTGGATTATTTTAATGTTTGGGCTTTTTATGTGATCATATTTACATTATTTATTCTTTTTTATTTCTTATTACATATGTATTAAGTCTGTGTTTATATTTTTATTCGGATCACTGTGCATTAAATTATTATCCACTATATTGCCCATAAAATAATGCCTACTCTTACAATTTTTTTCAGATTTGACTCTGAGCACACATGCCCCATTGATGTGCGTCAACGAAATAGCCGCCAGGCTATGTCTAGGATCATTGCCGAACTAATCAAACACGAGTACGGTGATCCCTCCAATAAGCCATACCCTTCGAAATCAGTGATGCTTGATATGCAGACCAAGTATGGCATTTACATGTCATATAAAAAAGCATGGATTGCCAAAGAATTGGCAATGGAATTGGCTATGGGATCTGAAAAACAATCACA